AAAAATCATTACTGCTTTTCATAAACTCAAAACAAACCAAAAACAATAATAATAATAACCTCCAACACAATGAAAATAACTTTTCCTACGCGCTGTGTGTCATGCACACCGCCGTATTTACTTTTCCCTCGCTTACAGTAGCTGTAAAACACACACACACACACCCATTAGACACATATGGTAGAAACAAGGAGAAAAAACACGCATTTTTATTTGTTATTTTTGTGTCAGTTTCATCTTAAAGTGGGGAAAAAGAGAGAAAGGTGTTGCCGCTTGGAGCTGCCTGCCCCCAGCACGAACCCAAACATCACAAATTTGGCGTTTGCGCAGCGTGCTTCCTATGCTATGATCAACACATTAATACTAAAACCGTGATCAGCACGACCACTAAAATTGAGGAAAAAATTAATGCCAACTGACTCACATCAGCGCCAGCACTGCGCGCCTAGTGGGTATAGCACACTTCGATGTGCCTCGGGCACACAATGTTCCCGCCCCTGAAGACCGGCCCAGTTGGTGTGATACTGCTGCCCTCTGGGCATACATGCCAGGTGTCATTCCCAAGATACCGCACAAGCACGTCGCCATCGTCGTCGCACGACACCTCAGCACAGACGTCCCCAATGAGACCAGCAAAATCACGCAGCCCATCCGATTTTAAGCACCTTGAGCTTGGGCCAATGCGGCATCCACGCATATGACGTACATCACCACCATCGAAGCACCGCGTGCCTTCAAGTTCTCCAATGAAGGGGCAGTAGTCCATTAGGTCGCCAAGGAGCCCGCCGCGTCTGGGATTACTGAAGTACTGAAACTGTGAGGGAAGGGGGTTTGGGTAGGTAGTAATCTTACAGATCCCCAGTGCCAAACGATCCGATGTGCATTTCATAAGTTCTCTTCTGGCTCCGCAAAACATTTCCGGGTACCGGGTGACGCCATCAGTCAGGCACTTCTCCGTCAGCAGTTCGCAGCCGGAGTTGCTGCCCCATGGCATCTGTTCCGCCATGCTCCACTGCGCCCTGTAAAAGCCCATGTCCTCAAAAGCAGCCATCGTCAGCGCCGTGTAGTAGCCGGCACCGGGAAATCCAGCCATCAGCTCATCTTTTGCGTTGCGTCTCTTCCAATGCGATGATGGCGTTGCACCCCCACCCTCATCCTCCAGCTCCATTCCAGGGGCACTTGCGCAGTTGAAGTGCGCACGAGTCTTTTCCAGCGTCTTGGGTGAAGACACAACGAGCACATTCTCCTTTCCACGAACCTCGGGTATCAACTGTGTCATAT